AATGCAAAAACATACCACGTAGTTGCACACGCCGCCGTATAAATGCGGAAGTGGTACTTGCCCAAAGGTTTCTTGGGATTGTAGACGATAAGCGCACGCCCATAACTTGAACGACACGGAATGCATGCTTCGTCCACGCTGATCTCACGGCCGGCCACGACGAAGTTCTTGAACGATGCCTTCAACAGGTTGATGAGCGGCCTAATGCGCCAAAGTGGGTCTGCGGGCTCGACCACGTCGTTGAATGTGATGAACGCCCGCAATTGCTTAAATCGGTCGATCGGCATGACATGGCCGAAGTTCTCCGTCGGCGGCATGAGGAACGACATACTCGGCTTTGACCAATACAGACTGTATTCACCACCTTGCACGACACTCATCATGATAAGCAGACCCACAAACTTCATGACTCCCACCAGCTCGATGCTTTTCTTCCTACCTACGTAGCCCTTCGGATGCGCTGCTTGCAGCGCCACGGCCTTGGCGTTCGTTCGCAACGTCACGGTCTTCCACAACTCCAGCGGCACGAACGCCAGGAAATCTTTGACGGGGTTCTACAATAGATGCTTGAACTCTTCCGAAATGCGCAACTCGTCCACGGGTGTGTCGTCCTTGTTGTCATCGTGTTCTAGAGGTCTGTGGGCCCGGCGTAATGTCCTCCGCACATCCATTCCACGTGCTCAAGTCCTTCAATGTCTTCTGTCGCGTCGTAGTGCCCGTGCTTCTTCCAGCCACGGTCCACGAACTTGGACCACTCGTCCCCGCTGTCGTCATCGTCTTGCCGCGCCAAACTGCCGTCGTTGATTTCTTCGTCGCTCTTGGTCTCTTCGTCGAATGAACTGTTCGCAATGAACTTCTTGTCCCACTCGGTCAGGTTGTGCGACTCGTCCTCGGGCTTGAACAAGGAGATCTGCAGAAACTTCGTCCCGCGTTCATACGTTGGTTCGCCTTCAAAGTCGCAAACTGTTCCACACCTAGAATGCATAAGAAAGATACATGTACACGCAACACACCTTTGTAAAACAGGCGCGCAGTAATCCACGGCTCGTCGCGCTGAAACCGTGTGTGATTCCAAGTGATCTTGTACAATGCCACCATCGCCTTGGCCTCGGCTTTCGTGTTCTTGCCCGGCGTGTCGATGTCGGGATCGTTCTCGCTGCCAACAACGTAGCGCATAATGTAGCCACGTACCTTCCAATTCGGCGATGGACATACGACTTCGTAGTTGCATCCGCAGTAGATAGCATGTTCACGACTGTGTCGAGCCAGAAAACGTAACTTTGCAGTTATGTTTTTTATTGTTCAACTTTATGATCCGATCGCGCGATTTTCATGTATGATCGGCGGCTTATAGCTCTAAAGTTGAATGAGAGTCTTCTTCACGCTGCTCGATTTGTGTTCCATCATACTATGCTTCTTCAATCTGTACAGTTCGCTGCCTCGATCCATCTTGCCGTCCTTCTTGAAAAGGCCCTTC